AGAGTTGTATGAGCCCCTAATAAAATGATTAATAAATAGATAAATAAATAAAACCACCTGTTGGAGAGATGGCTATGTTCTGGTCGACTGTGATGGCGTATTGGGGGACTTTTTTGACCATGCTTCTGAACAGTGCCTGTTTTCCTTTTTTGGGACCCATCGCTTCCCTGGGCAAGTGGGCTGGCTTGGACGACCTGGTGGAACGGCCGGCCCTCTCTTAACCAGAGGTCGGGCTATGACTCCCGCTGGGCTGATCCCAAGCTTCCCACCAAGAACGTGTGCCTGGAGCGGAGGAACAAACTTGGAATCCATTTATTTTGCCGGCGGGGGTGAGGGGGTGTTTCCTGTTCTTGCTAGGAAACCTGTGAGCATCCAGTGAATTCCGTCTTGCTTAAATTAGCCTAGAGCTTGTTCCTGGGCTTGGAACCAAAGAAGCCTAACTGATACCATAGCCCAGTGCGGCCGAGATGTGTCTTGGTTGGAGGGCCAGCTAGCTGTGAGCTAACAAGGCCCAACTGTGAGTCCACATAGCGCATGTTTCATCTCCGCTGCCCAGGCCCCTAGAAGAGCCCATGCTTGCAACCCGTGGGTGCAGGCCAAGTAGGCATGGCCATTGGAGTGTTTGCCTAGAGAAGCCATCGGTGCCCTGCATGGAAGAGTTTGCCTAAACAGAGCCATTGCTTTGTGTGTTCATTGTTTCTGCACATGGCGTGCCTCAGCCCAATGAAAACCTGACTTCGAGTCCCCATCAGGGGACCAGTGGCCTTCTGTTTGACAAACCCAGGGGACCCTTCCACCTTATCCTGACCTGACTGGCTAGCTGATGTCTTTCCTGCTATTCTTTCCCAGCCTTAAGCTGTAGACTGGAGCCCTGGTAGTGTAGTGGCTATGCACTGGGCTGCTAACCACAAGGTCGGCAGTTCGAAACCACCAGCTGCTCCGCTGGAGAAAGGGCTTTCTACTCCTGTGCAGAGTTACCATCTCAGAAACCCACAGCTAGTTCTACCCTGTCAGGTTCACTGTGAGTTGAGGTGGACCTGGTGGCAGTGAGTCTGGTTTGGGGGAAGCTCTAGACTGTGTGTCTGTATATCTCCATTATTGGTTGTCTCAGGCACCTCAAATCAGCATGCCCAAACTGACGTCCTTCCCTGTCAACCTGCCTCAGGCGTATTCCTCCTGAGATCCCCGTCCTTGTTAAAAGCACGTGGTCACCCAAGCTAAGAACCTGTCCATCTCTCAGCCTTTACATAGAATGAGTCATCACGTCTTTTAAAACCCTCCCATCTCCATTTCCTTCACCCCCCAGGTCTCTACGCAGGCCCACCTCTTTCTCTGAGAACTGCCCTTCTCCAGCCTAACTTCCCTGTCACACCTGCCCCCAGCAGCCATTTCTGTCATATTCCTTTAGAGATGCAAATCTGATCCTGGCTCTGTGGCAGGGGAGGGTTTGGGGGTTGGGTATCAGACTTGGGAAGTTCCTCTGGCTGCAGGGCACGTTTCTCTGTGCCCTGAGTTAGGCACATCTCCAGCCTGGAAGCTTACCTTGCCTCCTCCCCCTCCTTGATCTCCGGATCTCCGTCCATCCCCCTGTACACGAGTACATCCTTTCTAAAGGACCCCTGTGTCCACGCCGGCATGCATGCACGCACATGCTCACCCTCCATAGACCCCTTTCACTGGTGAATAGACCTACTCATCTTTGGAAAATTCTGTTCGAGAGGGGACACCTGGTTGAGGGCAACCTTGGCCTCTTCCTGTCGCAGGGAGAGGAGCGTGAAGACGCCCCGAAGGCCCATGGGAACGATTAGTTCAGGGCACCGATGGACCACGCAGACCTCGGCCTCCAGGAGCCCGCATCCCGAAGAGCAAGTTGGTACTCAGGTGCCGCTGCCAAGTGCTCT